TTTATACTAGAAGTAATAGCAAGACGCCTACCTACTCGACTGCAAAGGAAGTGGGTGAAGATAAGCTCCCGTATGGAGGATGAGGGTATCGAGCCAAAGTTTGATGATATCCTGAAACTGGTAAATACTAGTGTCAATCAATCTATGAGCAAGTTCGCCAGTCTATTACATCTCACCCCTAGAATAGAGCAGTCTGAGATCAAAATGCAATCATTGATGACGAGTAGGCCTCAGAGAGGTGGATATCGAGAAAGCTCCATGATGTCTAGTAATGCATATAGACCTAGTGAGTGTAACAGGTTTCGTAGTACATCCTCAACAGATAAGTTACAAGATACAAGACAAACACGGTTGTGCTTGACACGTGTGCAAGAGGTGCATACAGAAGTGAACTGTGAACCGGTGAGCAAGTTCAGTGATAAGCTAAATGTAAACTCCAGGTCTGACTCCAAATTGTGTGACGATAACGGTGTTGTGAAAAAGTCTGTAGTTGCAACTGGTAAGCCGTTGTTGAATAGAGTGTCACAGAATAGAGTTACTGCTTCAGAGTGGAGTTCTGACTCCACAAGTTTACAAAGTATATCTAGTCAGAGTGAAGTTATAAAACCTTTAATGATTTTTGAGGAGGAACCAAAATTGTCTACTTCTGTTATTAAAGAGTTTGAAAATGATGAACTTGACGGTAAATTGAATATTTGTGGTAATGATCATGATAGTGCAGATTTGTCTTTGGTTGATCATTATGAGATGCGGGATATGCCTACTACTGCTAAGTTAAATAAAGGTTCTGTACAACTACAACGTGAAGTAGAATTGAACGCAGATGCAGTTCCAAAAGGTGTGCATACTTGTGAGACAGTCAGTGTAATTGATCAGCATGTAGCCCACCTATCATCAGATGATAGTGCTAAACCCGAACTAGTAGTGAAAGACAGCAGTGGTGGTAATCTTGCAGTTGGACAACTATCTGAAAGCCGAAAAAGAACAGCTTCTGATCCACCGCTAACTTCATCACCTTGTGTCACTCAGTCATCGTTGGTGTTTTCATCCACAATGAAACAGATGCCCATCAACTCTAGTATCTTCTACAATGACTATGGCAGTATCAGTTCGTTTGAAAGGACGAATATCATTGGTCAGTTTAGTGTGGATAAGCCAGGTGTAAAGGAGAGAGTTATTGTTAAATTGACTTGCATGAATAAAGGCATTTCTAGTTTCAAGTTACTAATTGAATGCTATTATCTTTGGTGTAAATTACTCTGTTTCTACACTTGGTTGATGAGATATGCCGTGTGTTTGTTCGTCATCTATATTCTACGATACAATGACATGGGCGTGTTACTGTTCAGATTTGAGGATTTAGCTCATAGAAGGAAGTCAGCAAATGAACTCTGCGACGATTTTCCAACCTAGGGCGTCAACCTGAGAAGGGTTGTAGGCGTACTGCTGTAAGTCCTACAATTCTTCAAAGGGTAGCGCATCAGTGAGCAGTCCAATGTGCTCGGTGTGTGATTTTGTACATATGTTCATATTGTATATACTGAATTGATATCATCTGTCATCTAGCTGTTGGTAATTCTGTTTGTGTCCGGACGACTTCCAGTCGCATCATCAACCTGAGAAGGAATGTAGGCGTACTGCTGTAAGTCCTACAGTTCTTCAAGGGTGGTTTGTCGTGCCAGAGTCTACAACATTTGATGTGTTGATTGTACATATGTTTGTGTTAAATAATTGTGTGAGTTCCAATTATTGTAATTGTTGGTTAATCTTGTTTGTGTCCGGACATTCCACAACTTACAATCGTCAACCTGTGAAGGTTTGTAGGCGTACTGGTGTAAGTCCTGCAATTCTTCGAAGGAATTCCATCAAGACATGATCCGCGAGTTTGTGTGTACTGTTTGTATGCATGTGTGGTGTGTCATATCAATTGGTCTATTTTGGATTCATTGTGTTTACCCGTCGTTTTCGTACCTTGTTGTTATTGCATAATTTTGTTAAAATTTTCGTCGTGATTACTTCTGAAGTTGTTTCGAGTCTTCCACATCCGTGAATGGATTGATTGATGTTAAAGACGGCAGATGGGTCGTATACGCTATAGAGGCTATTTCTGAGAATGAAATGCATACGAGGATAATGATTAGCTGCGGTCCCACACGCCGGGGAGCGAGGGTGTAGACGACTGAGGCTCGCATACGTCACCGTTACTAGAACTGAGGCAGAATGAGTGACAAGCGATCGCAGTGGTAATTGGTAGTGAGTAGATAGGACGATGTGCGTAGAGTATCGTGAGGTGCTGCTATGGTCACGTTGCATTCTGCAAGAGTCATTCTAGCAAGTGGCGATTGTGTTGCAAGATGTCAAGAGGAGGTCTCTGTCTGGAGGCGCAGGTCGTCATTGATGTGTGAGATTGTGCTGTGGGTATACTTGTGGTGTGTTGGCTTTTCTGTTTGTTTTCCATTTCAGCTCTGTCCGAGTGACCCGGGTTCTCGCAATGGCATCCAAGTCAACGTGTATTGGTCGTGATGGAAAAAAGGAATAGATCCTTTTTTGCCGGGGAGTGTCAATGTAGTTGAAGATTGAATGATCAATTCATGGTTGTTTGCTCGAAACCAACTTCCCCAATTTTCGCGGGGACATCAATACGACAGTCATCGTCTCATCGGTCGCTGTTCAGAAAGAAGAGTAAAAAACCGTCAGAAATAATATTGTGATTTATTATTGTAATATTTGTTCACAGACCTTAGTTGTAACATTTTTTATATGTTGGTGTAACAATAAAGAATCTTCGAGTCACCAATTGGTGTTTTGGTTTTTTCGTCCGTTATTACTAAGCGTTTCTGAGAAACTTCAAGGAACAGCGTGAGCCCGAGCGTAGCAAGAGCTGGGCATTAACGGTTTACGAGACGTGGCTGACAGATAGTATTCTACTTAACAGTCCTTCGGAATTTCGTGAGTCATGCAAGGGTGAAGAATATACTCCAGCAGCTTGAAAACACATTTCAACACTATGAGATCTGCGGTATTCTCGAACATCAGTTAGCCATGTTCAATGTAGAAAAATACCTCTACATTAGCACTAGGCTACCGTGTATTGCAATATCATCATCCAAAACCTCCGCAATAACGAGGTGTAACTTTATGTCAGCAGATCAGCGCTGCATATTGGGATTATGAAGCAATAGGTATATGAATTATCGGAAAGCAAAGATAAATAATAAACAATAAATAGAAAAGTGACGAGTCATGTCAACATATTCACAGATGCATCGGGAGTAAGGGAGAATCAATAGAAAATTAGTGGGAATCCTGGAATAAACGTCGCTACTGTAAATACAATCCTGAAGAATCACTTTCAGATAATTCATTCTGCTACATCTGTCCGTTCAGAATAAAAGCTGTGCTTAACTAGCGTAAGAGAAGTGGCAATAAATAAACCTAAGTCGCATTTGCAGTTTCTTCATGTTTTATGTTCGGAAGACAATGGATACTGAAGAACTGTCTTATCTAGTTCACTGGCTGGTCCCAAGAATAATTTAGGTATCAGATATTTATGTACTGACTTTCTTAGACTACAACGCCGAATCTGCGAAGGGGGCTAATTTCGCATACTTGGGGTTTTTAGATTTCTTAATTGCTTCTTTAGAGTGAAATATCACCTTAGGAACTATAGGCCATGGAGGTACTTAGCCATCGTAGGAGTGGCGGAAGTTTAGAATTTTTATTTTCACTTTTTGATTATAGCTTGACTGTAAACAGTATTTTGGTACAAGTATGGGATTTTCAGCACTTGATATCAGTCGCCCACATTTAGCAGGCCGACCATTTATATCAGGCTGGGGATCGAACTCCGGACCATGTGCATGATCGACGAGAGTCTTAACAGGTGTGCATTCGACGCACGGATCATGGCCATCAATTGAAAGGGTTTAGTCTTCGACATCGTATGAAGGAGTTTCCCAGAATCGTATGGTTAATATATGTAAACTCTATATAATTCTTGTGACCTGAAATCTGGAAGAACTGGCAGTTTTTGTAACTCGCTTCACTTACTAAGCTGTCCTAAGCTTGTGTTACAGGGACTTGAGGCCAGTAGCCTGAGCCCCCGAAAAGCACTCCCACAGCTACTGAGATTTCAAGGTGCACTTCCACAAAAGAGGAAGGCTAAGTATAACAGTGGACTACAGAATGTTTACTTTTACGTGAAGCAAGTGAAAAATAGTGATAACAAATAACTCTAGATGATGAACATACTAATTTCATGCCGCTGCATTGAAGGGCAGACGTGGAATTCTTTCGATATTCCCCAAGTTCTTACAAACAACCAAACTCTGTAGAACAAATTAGCATGTTTGTGTTCGTTTTAGGAGATTAACTTCATGTCTATTCAAAAGGGACTCATCGTCTAGATATGAAGCTTATCACTTCGCTCCAAGTAGAAAGTGGTGTTTTAAGAATCTATTCGGAGATGCTGGACAGACTGTTACCGTCCCACCCACCACAATGAGTACTCAGGTACTCTGGTCGAATTTCTCATATAAGACGGCATTTTTAGAGGTTAGTCGTGTAAAGTAATCCCTTGAATTCTTTTACTAAGGGCTACACAATGTTTCTAACAGAGAAATATACGTTACCTCGTGGAGTCTGCAAGATTCTAGGTATTAAAGCATGAAAATCGCGCCTAAACCGTTGTACACTAGTACCAACTCAACAAGTAGCTCGCATAATTTGCAATTACTGACTGCAGAAAACAGGAACATAAGATTGACTAATGTGTACCATAGGGTGTAACACATGTAACGAATAAGAATTACAACCTATTCTAGCAAAATGTAGTACATTTTACCAGCGGCGATGATTAAAATGGGGACTCGGCTTTTGCATCATTACCAGCACAATGGAAGTGTGAAATCTGCCTCTAATTCATACTTCTTAAATCGAAACTCAAACACCGGCTGCCTATATAGCAGATCTCCAAATCAATTTGTAGTTACATGATAACTGTCTGATCTGATCATTATTAATTTGATAGGTAGTTCCCAGTACGCCCCAAGTAACTTGCCTCAGGAGCCCTTAAGGTTTATATAGGTTCTTCAGGGAGAGAGTGGATATTAGAAGATGCACACGGTCATATTGAGTATTGAGAATTGAATTTTGTGTGTGCGCGCTAACAATCTCAACGCCATGGTGGGACGCGGTCATGGGAGACAATCTTTCAGGCGGAATAATCCGTAAGTTGGCACGTTTAATAGTAATATAACAGCTAAGCTAACCTTTAAGAGCGAAGTTAGACATTGAGCACCATAACTTTGAGGCAGACTGCAGATCACTGTTACACGTTATGCAGTGCCCCGAATATCATGCAGTGCGCCCGAAGGAAATAATAGTTGGGGTACCAAAGAAGTGCAACCTCACCAGTGACCGTGAAGCGCTCAGTAAGCACGTTAGTGGCACCAAGGAAGTAACATGAGAATCACGAATAAAATATGCTGCATGTATACATGCAGCACTGTAGTGCTTTGATACTAGGCGGGGTGCGGTGAGTTCTTGTTAGTTTCGGGAAAGATTAAGGTCATTTCTTCCCATAGGCTCGGAACAGGTCATAACCTGACCATTTAGGGTTACGTTTGCCTGATAAGTGCGATATTCCGTTCGGTCCTGTCTAGATTAGGATTAGTTTATGAGCAGTTTCGCGTTAGGTTAAGGAAACGGTTAAAATGAGTGTCGGGAGACCTTGATGAATACATGTATAGAACATGGTAAAATCGCCTTATTTTCACGCCAATCCAAAACGGAGAAGCAGCCTTGTCACGTGGCAGAGGAAGGTATTCTTTTTATTGGCATCGTGCTATTTTATCCATAATATTCTTATATATTTGTACTTGTTATGCAGAAATCGCCTTTTCTAAGTGACTGGTGTGTCCCACTCCTTCGGTTCCTAAAGTGTAACTTCGCCAGTATGTCATTGTTTCGGGAAAGTGTCTTATTGAGCAAATGCAGTTTTTCACTGATATTGTTTTCTGTATGAGTAGTAATTACACATGAGAAGCTGGAAACTGTTTAAAGACACGACTAGTAAAGTTCACTTCATTAAGTCCCTAAAAGTACAAGTTGGAACGAAAAATTTGGTGGAATAATTCTGTCAACATGGGAGCTGTCATGTGATTTCATTGTCTGATATCAGAGGTGGGATACTACTTTTCGTAAATACAGCGTACAGCTGTATTTCTCTACGCAAGAAATGCCTTGTTTAGTATGTCAAGATTTCGGTACTGTATATTCATTATTCTTCTTACTATGCTGTATTATTCTGAAGCTCTTTCTCTTTTGTCTTGTGCTTCACGGAGTGTGGCATCTCAAACTGCTGCAATTCTGTGCTAGGTTGAATGTCGAAACCAGTCAGTCACTCAGGTGGATTAGTAACTGCAAATTTATGTTCATCTATGTTTGTACTTTAAAATTTTTACTCCATCAACCATAATATTCATGGTACTCAAGAAATCACTGCTCAGCTTTACATTTTCATTCATTGTATGTTTCGTATTGGCTTGCAGATGTGCTCTTCATCTCTTACTTTTCAAAGCGTATGTTTGTTAAAAGTCTAATCCATGAAACTATAATCAAGGAAATTGAGTGTGTAACGGAATCAAATAAGCAACAGCATAGCCGGCATATGATCACGATGTGTCTAAGCCTCAGAATGCAGTTGAGCAATTACTTAATACGTAGAGTTACTGTTACACGATTCGGGAATTTTCAGTGGTTAATGGTTAACCAAAGCTAAGGACAAACAAGTGACTAGGTAAGTTACACACAAAGACATTCAAATCGTGGACAGAATTTTCAAACCCATATTCCATTGATTTAAAAATGTAGTCAGACCGGGACGGTCAGATGGGGTCTTTCCCAGCGTATATATATATATATATATCGTTGGCTGATGGTGTGGCCGGCTGACGGCTGCTCATGGATTAACTCACTGAACTGACATCTCATTACAGAACGACTGCTCACAACTACATTTATCCTGCGTTAACTTTTGTGGTTAATAGACTTTTATTTATATTTATAAGTGTGACTTACATAGTTTAAATATAAACAGATCAAAGCAACCAGGGGTGATTCTAAGGGTCTCTAGGCAACCGATAAATGTTTACTAATTGAGAAACTATTGTTCCGTATAACATTTATCACTATAACTGTATTTGTCTCCCAGTCAGTATCCTCTAGATAAGAGTTTGAGGATTAAATCGTTCCTTTCTTTTCAGGGCACATGCAGGTCAATTTATTCAACAGTTGCCATTTGATATTGCTCTACTACAGCCCGATTTGGCTATCCCTGCTGATGACCAAAATCTGCTGCAATGTTTGTTAAACCAACATGCCCAACTAACGCCGTCTTCTGATTCTCAGCATGCTCTGACAAACTTAAACAATGGAATATGTGAAATTCTGGATAATATTATTATCAACCCGTCAATCTTTGAGTCAGCAGTATGTTAGTATAATTGCTTTTTTTGCATTATTTTGAATTTGTCATTTTAAAAAAGTATTGTTTTATGGTGAAAAAAGCTTTGATAGCAATTTAACTCAACAAAACAATCTTAATTTTTAGTGTTGGGTTGTATGGATTTGATTGATTTTCAGTTCGATTCTACTACGAACTGGCATCATTTGAAGAATCAGGTAGTATTGGACGGTTGTTTTATCCTACTTCGAGGCTTTTCAGCACTATGCTCGCATAATATGAACCTAGTATCTTCACATTAAAAAGCAAGCTTGCATGATAACGTGCTCGCCTAACTCTGATTTGTTGGTTGGTTGGTCTTCCGATCATATGTGAATCACTTTGAATGCGTAGTTGTTACTCCTTTCTTAGTCTACTATGTTAGTATTAAAAGATATTTCAGTTCCTTTAGGTTTTATTTGTTAGAGTAAACTTAAGAAATCGTTTGCATACCTTTTTTCACCCCACAGTATAACGTCACTCTACCCTAAATATTCATCAACCTTATTCAACAGCTGTACGAAAACGGCACATTTCAAGTGATTCACAACGGGAAACTCAACGAGGCGTTCGGAGTAAACACAGGAGTCAGACAAGGGTGATTGTTATCACCCACGATGATATTCCTAATTGTGGTGGACTGACTGGATTATGCGTCAGACAGTGGGAAACGAGAAGACAGGGATATCCTGTCTGGACCGACGTGAAGAAGCTAGAAGACCTGGATTTCGCGCGTGGATGATTTATGTTTGATGTCACACACAGTCGAAGACTTACAAGCGGAAACTGACAAACTGGTCGAAGAAGCAGCCAGCGAAGGCAGGACTCCAAGTGAACATAGACAAGACGGTTATGAAAATAACCAACCAACAACAACAATAGCAGCAACTTCCAGCGCCAATCACCATCAACGGGAGGGATTTGAAAGAGGTTACTTCATTCACTCACTGGTCTAGGGAGCATTGTCTCAGCTACAGGCAGTCGGGACGGACGAGGATGTCAAATTGAGAATCGGGAAGGCGAGAAACACATTCGTCAGCCTGAAACCAATCTGGAAATCTTCGTCACTCAACTCAGCATCAACAACAAAATTAGGATCTTCAATACAAACGTCAAGTCAGTCAGTTCTTCTATATAGATCAGAAACTTGGTGGGCGGGTCACAAAGAATATTTCCAACAGCCTGTTGCAGACCTTTATCAACCAACAACTGTCTTCGCTGGCTCTATACTGAAGATCAGATAGCCGGGCCGTAAAGAATCACCAACTATTGGAAACTATGGGAACAAACAAAACAAGAACCACTCACCCAACAAATATGCAAGAGAAAGTGGAGATGGATTGGACACTCGCTGAGGAGGCCTCTGGGTTACGTCGCGCGCACCTCAGGCCATTTCTCGAGTGGAACCAGGCCGAAAGGGAAGCGGCGTGTGGGACGTCCAAGGGTGACATGGAGGAGATCGTGTGAAGAGGAGTTGAAACAGTATGGACTGACATGGATGCAGGTGAGAAAAGCAAGCAGAAGACAGAAGCAAATGGAGACGTTCAGTTGAAGCGTATGTTCACCTAGGAACCCAAGGGAATAACAATAATAAATAAATAATAACGTCACTTGTCATACTTTTCAGTTGGCAACCTGATATGGATATTTTCGTATTTTAGCAAAACTCATTAGAATTAATAGATACTTATTGTAAAAGTGGGGATGATGACCTCAGCTACCCTCTGAATTATCCAGTTGTCGCGTATCTGCAATTCTGTGTAACAATATTACTGAATTATCAGCCTTAAGATTTTAGGAAGAATATGCTTATGTGTATTCGTCGGCTGTGGCTTTTGTACACTTTTTGGGTATGAGTTGACGAGAAAGACGTATACGAATACATGGCATTGCGACACTATTCATTGTACAGGAAGGAAACAGGCTGATTTAGTTGTTTAATCATTGAGCCGTTAGAGGTTAGTTGTGTTCTTTCATAAAGTTAAACAAAGTAATAATTCCAATAATATTATTCTTCAGAATTATTCTTACCGAGTGATACGAAGTAATTGACTGCAACTGAGTTAACGAAAACTTTCTATACATAGCGGGAGGCTTACTGTACTACCTGGTTGCAGGAGTCAAACTCAGCTAGATATGACTTAAATTCCGAATCATGCTAACGATCCACGTCTTGGTTCTCCAGACCACTGAACAACCATTCTTAGCTGCCGACTTATCTCTTAAGTTGTTGTGAACTCTATTTTATGATCATTCAGATCACGCAACCGTTGCTCCTTGGTTTAGTCACCTAGCCTGAAGGTAACAGTGACGGATTCGAACATAGTTCCACCATAGTTGGTATTTCGGTAATCTAAATGGCATCACTAACCAGAATAGGATTGTCTAGTGCAAATCAAATATTTAGTTCCCAAAATCAAGTTTCTCTATGTTTTAACAAGTATCCCCAAAAACTATTATGTTTTAGCTTTCCTCACTGTTATGAATTCAAGTGTGACGTAATTATTGTATCGAAATTATTGCCTTACATTACTTTTAAATTTTGTCTTCCTATTTCAGCAACTGGAGCATATTCATCGTGTTGGCTCTTTTAAAATGGGCACATGGTTGAATGGTTCATGCATAGCAGATTTAGTCTGTGTACTTCGAACACTACCAACACGTGAAGCTGTACAAAACTTAGCCAATTTTGTTCGTAGTCAACTGACAACTAATAAATCGTCGACTGAATATATTAATTGTAAAGTTGAATTAGAAAGCTATGGATTCTCTGTCACCTCTGGGGACTATGTTGTGCAAGTTTTAATCACTACTACACCAATGAATTTAAATAAAGTAGATCCTAATATACATAGTAAGTTTTGAAAACTCTTATTTATGCAAGTTAATTGAATAAAATTGTACTGGAATTCAACTAAGGATAGGTGAACTGAAGCCATAAAGGTCACGTAGTGTTAGTGTACACTAGAGTTTCTCATAATGTTTACCCCTAACCTGTGGATTATGAGTACGCAAATCTCTTCAATATTGCAAAGACATGCTATTTTGGCTATAGTTAAACCTATACTTGGTTCCTCATTTGCGTTGTTGATGTATGCAAACCATTAATATTATTGTCTGGAAGCTCTTTTGAATAGGGCAGAACCAGCTGGAATTGAGCAAATCAACCTGTCACCCCACTCAATTATGATTATACTTCTGCCTACTTATTTATAGTTACATTTTCTGCTGTTATAATTTTTGTCTGTGATCATATCACTTCCATGTATCCTGGAGTGAAAGATACGAAAAGATTGGTTGCCCTTGACCCCATGAATGTTTGCGTCCTATCTCCCATGTTAATTAGTAGTATAACATGGTGAGTAGTATTGAGGTGAGACTTAGTGTTAGTCTGGGTGGGATGAGTCAATCGATTAAGGCGGTTAGTACACGTGTTGTGCATGCCGAACCTATCGCCTTCCTTGACAAACATAAGATTAGATTGGAGTAGTCAAACTCAAAACCTGATAACAATCCATGAGGAATCCATGACTGTTGATTTGAGCCACGTAGAGAGAGGTGTAAACTGCTTGGTGTTGGGATCTTCAAGACACTATAGACCAATGAGACTAAGAATGATGATATTACTCAAATTTATCCTCACTGTGTGATCTCCAATATTCATTAAACCCTCGTGTTTTGTTTTCATGTTACTGTTTTTTTACACACATTCCTGCTGATTATAGTTCTATGCGTTGGTAGCACAGTGGTTACAACTCTCGCCGACCATGCACATGGTCCGGAGTTCGGTCCCCTGCCGGCTCACACCTGATATCAATGGTCGGTCCGCAAAATTTGGGCTACCGATATCACATTCTGAAAATTCCATACATGTACCGAAAGTATTCCATGGTTTCAGGCTATAATCAGAATATTAAATATTTTTTACCTCCTTATTTTTATGTAAGATAAAGTGAAGCAACGTCTACTGCTTCCTTTTGTGCAATGGTTTTGTGTTAGAACTCAGTCAGTTAGTGTATGCTAAAGTAATTGAGTTTACAGGTGGTTGACACGGTTAATGCATAGGATTGTTTTAGGTTATAATTTTAAAAATACAACTTCCCGTTTGTGTAAACCAAGATTCTGGCTAAAAGTTTACCTTCAAGAGCTAGCTCATTATTCACTAGATTTGACTGTACACAGTACTGCTTTCACTGAGCGATAAATATTGTATGCAAGAAGAAGAAACAAATGTAATACTCACATTTTAAGCGATACTAGTATATAATTGCATAGTTGTTAATGTTACTCAACAACCACTTGTAATTCCATGCAGTTGGAGATAAGTTACACACAGCTATTATTTGAGGGCTTGTGTGTGATACTACCTTGGATACCTAAACCTAGGTAGGTGGAGTTCGGTTCGAATCTATGACCCATTGCATTAGAAGTCGACAGACTGAAAGAAATATGAGTCAGTATACAGTGTAAAAGGGAGTTGTCCCTTAGCACCTCGATTATCCAAATTACCTACCACTAGTCTTTGTGAGTTACAGGGAAAACTAGCGAAATTCATACTGTTTTTCTGTGTGATCAACGTATAGATTGAAAAAAACTTTCTTTTTACAGTTCGCTAACTTTAGTTAATAAGGTTTTATTTCCTGCTTACTTAGTTGGTAGTCAGGATATGCGTGTCTTGCTTTTTGTGTAGAAAACGTCGTACATATTGCATTGTCGATTTGCGTTGCGAGATGAAATGGAACTTTGAAGTTGTAAGCTCTATCGATCAAGGTGGCTAAATGGGTTATGCATGCCGAGCGCTAATGTCAGCTAATAAGCAACGCAGAGGGGAACCCATAACAACCCCATCTACTGGACAGTAAAACTCATTGTTAAGTACAAAATGAATATTCATAGTACATTTTAGCAACAATTCTTTCAATTTCATAAGTGTGATCTCGATATCTATTTTCCTTTCTACAACGTGTTCGCATATCTGTCTGTCTGTCTTTTCGACATAGAACTTTGCACATATGTGCGGAAGTTCAAGTCGCCACACTCCCTGCATGCAGCACACAAAGCAAGAGAAGAAAGTAGAAGAAATGCATAACAGAGAGAGACAGTAAGCAAAGGTATGAGACAAAGGAAGAGTAATAACGAAAAACAACATGGTTTCATTGGAAATCATAAGTCACAGAGAGTGGATGCATCTGCGCCATTGAGAACGATTTTGAGCCATATCACCAATAGTTTCCAGCCTTCATTGGTTTTTACCGTCCCGAGGACCCCAATCAGTCAGAAAGTCTACATCTTCCTACGTGGCTTAGACTAACTGTTGTGGATTTCATTGACTAGTGCCATGTTTTGGTTTGACCTCCGCTAGCTCTTTTCCAGCCTGACCCTATGTCAGCTAACATTGCGATAACTAGGCATTCGTAACACATGTCCTAACCATCTCAGTCGATGTAGCTTCACAGCTTTGTCAATTGATTTCCCCTCCTTACGTAGAACTCGACGCCTAACCTCAATATTGCTCACCCTACTACACCTACCACTTCACACGGGAGATAGAGCTCAGGCACCTATGATCAAAGACAGCTAATCTTTTCATGTCTTCCACTCTCAGTGGCCAGGTCTCACAGCCATATATATATATATATAATAATCCACTGTTTCAACCAGGGGAATATTGGTAAATAGTAACGTCAAATCCAACGATAACATGATTTTATCTTTAATGTTGTCAACAAAAGTGAAGACATCTTTTACACTATGTTTAACCTACTCCCGATGTAGCGGCTCAAACAGATTTACCAGTCATTTATTCAGATGTTCAATGAAATAGTGAATTTGACATATCAAGAATGGGACATTTTCCTAGCTAAATTGGAGAATGTTCCTCTAAGAGAGGTGTTAAACAAAGCTGAATATTATTGCCGTTATGCAGACGATACATTCATCGGTTGTGTCAATATTCTGGATAATTGACATCTGATGCAGTCCAGTAATAATGCGTACCCGGTAATTAAATTCCTTTGCGAAGAAGAATATCAAGGAAGTATTTCTTTTTCGAATGTTCTTACCAAAACGCCAGACAGCACATTGAAGCGAATCAACTACAGAAAAGCGACATGAAACGGACAATATATCCATTTCCATGGTTTCATACCCGTACAATATAAACGGAACTTGGTCCATAGTCTTAGTCATAGAATTAGGCGCATATATACTGAAGATTGTTTTGAAGATGAAATCAAAAATCTTAAAAATATCCTTCTACCAATTTTGTGAAAAAGTGTATTTCCAAAAGAAGTGATAAAATTAAGCGTGACACAGTGAATAAGAAAAACCCTTATTTAAGAGTACAGTTCAAAGGTGATATAAGCAGTGATATATTAAGCCGTAGGTTGATCAGATAAGTTGAAAGAACTTTCAGTTCCACAAAACTAACTACCCGTCAGTTTCTCAACCAGATCCTTACTGACATTGCACAAAAAGATAAATTATCTAAGATGGTCACATCAATGTGTCTGATAGGACTTAGCATAAAATATTATAATACGATATCATACAGTCACATGCCAACCTTTGCCTTTTGATATTAGCGTTGCTCAGTGAATCAGAAGGTACAACGGTCGAGTTCATTATCGCCAAAGTAATTAACGGTCGCGGACATAACTAAGAAGCAACGGGTTTATTCAGTTCATTTCAGTCATAACAGTGTCATTGTACAAGTTCAACTGCTCATGTGGAGCTAGTTATATAGGTCGGACTCAGAGAACTATTCATCCTTGCACGTTTGAGAACATGTTCCTGTTTGACTTGGAAAAACCATAACCAAATCAATAAACAGTGCCATTTTGTCTCATCGTTTTGGTTGTGAACACTACATCAAAATAGATAAGTCATTTACGGTTGTATATCGAGTAAGTACCAAATAATCTGCCTAAAGACACACGATTACATCTCCTAGCTCTAGCGGAAACTATAGAGATTAATAAGAAAAAACCTGACCTATGTGTGAAAAAATGGAGCATTCATTCTCTTTGTTTACCCTAGCCTATTACAGGGTCAACAGCATCATAATCATATTTTCATGTCATATACTATGCCTTCTTATTCCTTCTCACCTAGTTCACTGTACTCCATTATTACGAGTTGATCACGGATTGATATCATTTAGAGAACCATTGAAAACCAGGGAGTACTGGACAGCTGCTGTTTCATCCTGTTTGGGAATCATCGGCAGTACGCACCCACTGGGTTCGAACCCAGGACCTTCCGGTACAAGGCAAGCTCGTATACCATTCAGCCACTGGACGCGATTCAATGGCTCGTGAATTCTAACTTCTACCAATTCGATTTAGCGCGACCCCAACCATTGTCGTTGGTGGGACCCATCACACACGTGACATCTAATTGGACCTCACTGGTCACGAACATACTAATCCTTACAAACCAAACTATAGAACTCCATTATTACCTTTATTATGTGTCGACCCAGTTTATAATTTATACTAAACTTAATATATATTATGCCTCTAGTATTTTATTACAGTTCATCATTTAACCTCTTTATGTAATTGTATCACTACACTACAGCCCTTACTTGAACCTACATTCATTGTTCCCCATTTTTTGGTATTTGTTTGTATGTATTTTATGGTAGTTATTTTCCTTTCACACCATTGAATATAGTTTACTCCCACCCCCAAATTAAACATTCTATTGACTATAAATTACATTAGTATGTCAACCTTTTATGTATTCACACTTTGTCTCTATGTTCCGCATGACTGCATATTTTTTATATACGTTCATTTAACAACATTAAATAACGAAATATCACTCCATATTATATACATCTACCTCAACAATACAGTTTCCGATATAATTTCTATATGCCTTCAATGGCTATATGTATTATAATGAGATCATGGATTTCTAACTGTGTAGAGCCTGAAGAATAATTTATCGAATCGCTTATCGTGTTTTGATTAGCCTATGGGGATTTTTAATTTACATCCATTTTTTCAGTTGTAATACCACTTAGTTCCTGTTTTGTTTTGGAGGTGTATAAATTCAAATTAATGAACTTTTATGCTATGCTATATTCCACATTAATGTGTCATTTATGGGCACTTAAACAGTATTTAATATCATTTGTACTGTGAGAAAGTCTTTGCTTGCTGTTGTTGTTGTGGAGATTCGTTTGTGAATCATTCACCTAATGGCAACCACACAGACTTAACTTAACCACCGCCTCCCCCGACGGGCTTTGCTAGCTGATATAGGTTCAGGTTGGAAAAGAGCCAGTGGTGGCCAAACAAAAACATGGCATCAATCCATGAAATCCTTGACAGTTAAACTGAGTCAGGTAGGGAGATGCAGACTTCCGGTGTGGGGCTCTCGGGACTCTAGGAATCAATGGCTGGAGACAGTAGGTGACATGGCTCAAAATCGTTGTCAATGGCGCACATGTATTCAGTCTCTGTAATCTTTCATATTCCTTTCTACCATTACCCATTCTGTTTCACTCGTATACTTCTCAAACTCTATTGATTCTCTTCACTCATCTTCTTGTCTACCTTGTGTGCTATTTGGAACGTGGCAACTCGAACTGCTGCACTTCGGTGCCAAGTTCTATGTTGAATCCAGACAGACAGACTTAACTTCATGTGGTTTACCCCCAAAGAGGATAATTTAGCTGCATCAATTGTTACTACAACCATATATTGTCAATTTTGGTTGGCGGTGACTAGCAATAGGATTCAGAATACACATTTCTCCCTATTTAGGACTCCTTACCTGGATGTATCTTGTGCATCTCCAGTGAGCGAGTGATGATGATGTTCACCGTCTGAAGCTAAGCTTAAACCCAGCACCAAATCGTTTCAAACACTAGTGTCATATCCAGTGGGCCACAAGAGGCACCTTTTATTCAGTAGGTATTAGTTATCATTGTTTAAGTTACTTTCACTAGTACTATTGTAACGACAGAGGACAAGGGCTAGGCAACAGATCGTTTTTGAGGAAATCAACAAATATTTATAGATTTTTATGTACATTATTATCCGTTATTACTAGCAGAGAAACAGTGTCCTCTGATTGGTTGTTTTCTCGCTCGCTATCATCTCTTTATGGCCGTTTCTTTGAAGGTTAGACTCTATATCTGCTAATCGTGTCCGCCCACGCAAAGTCTTTGTTCCTGGTTTTTTCTCGTGACCCCGATTTGGGAAGTAAACATTGACGTAAATTGCTGTCTACCAATTTTGGCTAGCAGACAGCTGTCATCACGCTATGAGCCGTTATGTCAACAGAAACTGTTGAATACATCGTAATATTTTCCGTTGAAACTTTTAAGTGACACTTACTGACAATGCATGGAAAAGAATTTGTGTTATCGTCTGTTTTTTGTGTACATTAGTTACTCTATTTTCTTAATGTTCTTTGTTGTTGCTGGTTTTTCTCTCTTCTGTTTACTACTTTAGTTAATTTAGCTGCTCAAAAAACTGCACTTGCTTCAATTCGACATTTACGTTGGACTGAGGAACATGCTTCACATCCTACGTAAGTTGGCATTTTAATTCAATTTTCTCTTTCAGTGTGAAAGTATTAACGCGTATCTTGAAAGATTTTCGAAGACGTTTTCGCGGCTTTAGTTGTTTGAATTCTTGGCTGATTAATCTACTGGTAAGTTGTACAACAATATGCATTTTATAATATATATATATATATATATAATATGTAATATATAATTATCGTGATGTGGTTACACTTTCTAAGGTGGATGGTGACTTAATTGCAAAGCTTTCGTTGTCGTTTTAGATATCTTCAGTGCAAGCTTTACTATGAAGTGAACTTATTCGAATTCTCTCCATGAATGATGTCATTGTATCATCTGACAACCGTTATCTTGATTGCTAATTAACTTGATTATTGATGGTTTTTTATTTACCTGAAATTTGATTTTTTTTCTGTCATGACGTTTATTCCTTAATAAAAGTTTGATCACGAGTTGACATCAATTAGATAACCATTAGAAAACCTGGGAGTACTGTACCACCGTTTCGTCCCACTTCGGGACTCTTCGTCGGTACTCACTCTCCGGGATTCGAGCCCAGGATCTCAAACCTGTGGCCAGTCAGATGTAATTAATGTAATGTTAATTAATCTGATGCACATAAGTGGCTGGCTGTATGCAGGAAGTTATCCGTAGTTCTAGTGAGAAGTCGTAACCAGCGGGGTCCACCATGACATCGGCTGGCAGTTGCGTTATATAATATGTCGCGAACTGACAGAAGTTGGAATTCATAGGCTGGCCATTGAGTCGAGTCCCAGTGGCTGAACAGTCAACGAGCTCGTCTGGTAACTGAAACATGTTGGGGTCGAACGTTGATGGGTGCATAATGGTGAGGACTTCCAAATAAGGAGAACGAAAAAGGTATCCAGTACTCTCAGATTTTCTAATGTTTATCTAACTGATATCAACTTGGGATCGTACATGTAGTCAGTCAAATCTCTGCATACCAAAACTTGATATTGTTTATTAGTTGAAAAATTTGGTTTATAGTAAGTAATGTCTCTGTTATTCGCTAGTTCACCTGAGTATCAGGCTTTTAGAAATTCCATGGCATTTTAAGTGTTCCTATTGTTTAAAATGCCTACATTTTCCCAATTAAATAGATGTCCATAGGTAACTCTATGCATAGATATGAAAGCATACATGTAGTATCTTTTGACATCGCTAGTTTAAATTGTTAGACTCTCGGAGTCGAAGGGGTTGCCCATTTTGCCTAACATAATGCCTATTACAGTTCATGCAATTTATTTGGTAGATGATATTGATTTTCACTTCTTTTGTTGTTATGACTTTCGGTTGATAATGCAGATTGAAATAATTTTGTTAGTGTGTGTGTGTGTAGGCAACATCTTTTCCTAAAAAGGTTTGAATAGTCTTGCAGTGATTTCCGAGGTAAGAAGAAATGAACACCCTAGAACATCTGTTCGACCACGGTGAAATCCAGTTGAGCTAGAAAAGCTTAAAATTGTTTATCAACCAAAGGTCTATACACTATAGAACTAGATTTTAACAATATTGAAATAGTCCAGGAAAATTCCAGAAATCTGCAAGAACTTCTAATATCAGAAGCCCTTCATATCAAATGAAATTCTAGTTGTCTGAATAGGAATGATGGACTAAGACAAAGATTACACAGCGAAACAGTGTGTGTGAAACACTGTGTGATGTATCTAATAAACAAAAAATAGTATGGAGTTCCATACTATCACAGTGCACACATTTTACACATTAACTGGACTAAGACAGAATTTGACTTGGTTGAAACCCTCCTCCCCCCGTGAAGGGACAAAGTCAACATAAATGAGATAAGCAATTTCATCGTGTAAATGCATACCGTTTTTACCATCTCATACGCTTATCAAATCTAAAAATCTACACGTGGTTGTTATCGTTACCAACTGACCGCTTTGACAACAAAAAAATTACCTCATGCTGAAGAACGATGATTAAGTTACTTTGTATGAGTTAAGATTTTGTAAATTCTGGTTTGGGAAAATTAAAACAATTTATCCTTTTTGATAAATTTGAATAAAACATTTCAAAGCCAAATTTCGCGCGATATCATTTCGTAGTTTCTCTACAGTCGCTTTACAAGTAGCATGGTTCACAACAATACTAAAATAAGATGCATGACAGTCACTCAATTATATGAAATAAAAGTACATACTAATGACCAATCATATTTAGATTGGTCAAGTAGTCCATGGAAGCACTTTGGATTGATCAGATACGTCCTAAACTGTGTGTACAATAACATATAGACTTCAACCTTCGCCTACCATAAACTGACTAATTGATCTGTTTAAATATAATTGGTGATTAGTATGTCCTTTTGTAGTAAGAGCCAAAAATTGTAGACAGCAGTTTACATGAATGTTACGTCCCGAATCGTGGTCATAAGAAAAAGCAATAACAAAGACTAACTCAACAACCAATCACAACAGGTTGCGTGGGCGGATACGATTCGCAAAAGTATCAACGGGACTGCCAAAAAACGTCAACAAAGAGATGACAGAATAACCTTGAGTGAGAAACAACCAATCAGAAGACGTTACTTCTCTGTTAACAATAACGCTAATAATAATGTACACAAAAGTCTGTAAATATCTGTTGATTTTCTCAATAAACGATCTGTTCCCTGACCCTTGTCTTCTGTCGTTACACTTTAATTTTATATAACTGAGTAATTATCATGCATTTTATTTTATTATTATTGTGAACCATGTTAGTTGTAAGGCGATTGTAGAGAAACTACGAAAATGATATTATCGCGCAAAATTTGTCTTTTAAATGCCTTGTTCAAATTCTGGTTTAAGAATATTTTGATAATGCTATCAGCGGCATTAAACATGCTGAGCGTCAGTAAAAACAATATCGCCTTGATTTTCATTCAATGGGAATTACAAAACTTTTATAATAAAATGGTAATACACAACTTGTTTTTTCTGTACTTTTCGTGTTCGTTACTCGTATAATTATGTATTTTCCAAATTCCCATTTACGCATGTAGGACAAACGACAGATTGAGCGAAGAAATATGTATTCCTTTTCAATGAGTTCCTCATCATCGGCTCTGCACTAACATGTATCTTTTTACATCAAAAATGTTTTACCAATCATATGATGATTTCGGTTAATCGGTTTTAGGTAAAGAGGAAGGGGGGCGGGGTTGAAATTAAGGGGGTAAGGGTCATCAAGACGAATAACTAATAGGTATTAGCAACAAGATATTTGATTATACACCAGGGTCCGCTAGCTTGACCAAGAGGTTTAAAAGTGTTATCGAATTCTCCTCATGTCCTGAAAGACAACGAAAGCTTCACAATTGTGAACCATCCGGCTTAGTGAACGCAGTCACACCGGGATCATCTGCCTGAGCACTACAAATCTTCTCTATTACTATTGTTGTTATTTGTTAATTTGCGTTTTACAGGCTCAGTATGCTGTTATGAATAGTCCACAATGTCAACCATTGCCACTTAATCATGCCTTTAGGTAAGTTTTTAAGTGATAATTAAAACTACATATTTTAAATAACTTTCTTCAAGTAATATTGTTTCTCGAGTATAGGTTTGTAGGGATATGATTGATTGGTTACAGGATTTCATCATGAGCTTCTGACATGGTGAGCGCGTAGACCATTAGGCCTTGTAACCAGAAGGTCTTGGGTTCGAACCCCGGTGGGTGCGTGCTGCGAAGAGTCCCAACTAGGACGAAACAGTTGTCCAGTACTCCCAGCTGGTTTTCCAATGGTCCTCTAACCAATTTCAGGTCATGATGAAATCCTGTAATATTGTTTCTCTTTACTGTCTACTGCATTCGCGTTACATGTATTGAGTGGGAAGGTACTACTGCTACAACTAATACACAGCATATAAAGCTGTTTTGGGCTGTTATCTATACCTTTCTTTTTATCCCTACATGCGATAGCCTCCCAGATATCTTTCACACCAGTACATTACTTGTCATTATTTTTATTATTTTATTCCTTTGCACTGCCAGTGGAACATAGAGCTTCAAGCTAGAGCTTTTGAAGTTTCAGTAGTAGTGATTGTTTTTACGACATGGGTTTGGTAGTCTCACGCCTAATCCTCCCCCTTTATCCGTCTTTACGCCCAGCTAGGCGTGGTAAACGTATGCTTAACTGGTTGACCAGTGTTCCGCCACTAAACCACGTATGTTTTTAGATTCTATAGAGCTTTTCTCTCCTTGACATTATACTTCAGCAATCGTCCGCCCAGTTGTTTTTTCTGTGTAACACGATAAGGTTAAGGTGTGTATCTTTCATGAATATAGCTAAGTTCATCCTCCCGCATCCAGTTTACCATGGTAAAGTGATGCATACACCAAGGAGGTGAAGGATTAAACGTACCAGATTGAATAACATTTCTCAGACTACCCGGTTTGTCTTTGTATGAGAGGCAATGTAATCCCATTACACAACTAACACATTGTCTAGACATCTAAATTGCATTTACTGGTTAGATTCTTCTATATGTGTGGTAATATAATCTCTTCCTAAGTATGTGATATATATGCTACCTTTCATGTCAAATACAATCTACGTGGTTTCAAAAATTATTTGAATAATAATTGTAAGAATTGTTTTCTTCGTGAATAGAAATCAATAGACTTTGGATAGATATCTAAAGATTAAAAGTCCCGTATAGTATTGTAACGACAGAAGACAAAAGCCAAGGAACAGATCGTTTATTGAGAAAATTGATAGATATTTATAGATTTATATGTACATTATTATTCGTTATTGTTAGTGGAGAAGCAAGTCTCCTGATTACTTGTTTTCTTGTTCGAGGTTATTCTATACTGGTTGTGATCGTTTCTCAGAAAGTTAAGCCATATATCTGAGAATCGTATTTGCACACGTTAACTCTGCTGTGATTGGTTGTTGCGTTCCTCAAGGATAAGCTTTGTTCTTTTTTTTCGTATGACTCTGATTCGGGACGTAAACAGTGACATGAATTGCTGTCTGCCAAGTTTGGCTAGCAGACAGCTCTCACCCATAGTATGATCACGACACTGTAATAATTGTACTCTGTTTATCAGTTCGAATGATGAAGGAAGTAGAAGCAGTACTTAATTAGTACTATTTTTAAATATGAAAGAAAAGGACAATCTCTAGATAATTACTAATTTTGACTTATTCTGTAAGAAAAAAATACTGCTGCGTAGTGAAGTCCCTCTAACCCACTGACTACTCAGGCGGTTCAAGGTTTTTGATTCCCAGCCAGTGCACTCCTTAGTCTGACTTGACGGGTAGTAAACCCGTTATAGGGAAAAAATTGTGTGTGTGTGTGTGGTACTAACAGCCCTACCTCATAGAAAATAAACCTGACTACTATTGCAGCTTCAAATCTCAAGCTTCTGAAGCCCTTTTGCTTCACTAGGAACGCAAAGAATTAAGAAAAAATGAAATAGAAATAAATAATTGTTACTCTGTCGGAAATTTGTTTGTTTGCACATCGGCTTGTAGTTTTCATCACCAGGCATAAATTTTACTGATTGAAATAGCGAAAAAGGTTCAACAAAGAGTCTTTTTTTGATGAATTCACTCACTTAGCTGTACAATCTTATTATGCATATATATTTATGTATATGTGTACATTAAATTTGTCAAATAAGAGTAAAAATTAGTTTGGGTTATTGCTTAATTCATCAAAATATTTCAGAAATGTGATCAATAACCAGGGTTACATAATATGAAAACGTTCAAGAAATTATGTAGTAAGTGAAAGGAGTAAATCAGAAGGTCCGGTTCAGAAAATAAATGATGATACTTAATGTTATACGGAAATAGTTAATCTTGGAAGTTAAATCGTTTTCAACGACTGACTCAGATGCATTCACTCTTTGTGATTTATGATATCCAATAAAAATCAACTGTTCTTTTACATTATTATCCTTTTCGCCTAGCATTTTTGTTTATTACCTCTCTGTCTGTCTCTCCCTCTCTGTTTTGTTTGCTACATGGAGGGAGTGTGACCAGTGGAACTGCTGCATATCTGTGCAAAGTACTACGCTGAAACCAGTCAGTTAGTTAGAATACAATAAAGCTGTGATGTAAAGTGGTTTCAAACTTGTTTTCTTGTTTATTCCCCTGAGAATTCACATCTACTTCATTGTATTATATTGATTTTGAAAGGTCAACTTGTTATGAACTCGTCGCCAGTATGTTATGATGTCGTTGCCAATATTATGGTGTGACTAAGTGGAATTATGCGCTAATGAATATAACGGACGACAACGTACAGACTGGGATTGCTAAATACTTAATTTGTCCTGACACGAAGGTGTCAAATCAGAAGACCACCACGTTCACGATGCTATACGTGTATTTTCCAACAAGGAAAATTAACTGTCACACAAGAGTGTGTGAATGGAAAAGTACTAAAGAGTACGAAAGGTGTGAAAGAGAGTGTATTAACTAACTGAACAATACAAGAGTATATATGAAAATGACTAACAACAGGTATGAACCAATAAGATAGGCAGTAGGTTTTCTTACCACCATTGGATTCTGATTGGTTGTAATGTCGTGTGACAAAAGGTCATACGTTGTTTATTTAGTTAATGGACGAACAAAACATATTGTGGATTATAATGAAATAACGATCAATTTACATGTAGCAAGAAATATCAGACTGTCAAAACAAAGCAGACAACATGTGACTACAAATCACTACTCTTCATATAAACCTAGTTTGTACTTTAAGAATTGTATTAATTTTATAATCACCCAATAGAAATTTATCTCTGTTTCATTAGTCCTGAACAACTCTTCGTTCAGTTAGTTAATTCTTTAAATTTTTCCGTGACACATCTGTTAAGATGCTCGCCGACCATCCACACGGTTCGGGGTTCGATCCCCAGCCGACGCACGCCTGATATCAATGGTGGGCCTACTAAATTTGGGCTATCGATATTACATGCTGAAATATTCCATGCCTATATCAAAATTCTGGGTAGAGTCAACCTGTAATAAAGTATAAAATAAATTAATTAAATTAACAAAACATGCCTCTCATCTGTATGTTGTTTTCCTCGTTTTTTCTTTTCTCTCTGTAGACGTGTTTTGTATCTATTGTCTAGTGGTTTTCTTCTTCCTGGGAGTACAGGTTTATTGGATCCATGTGAACCGGGATATATACGTCTTCACTCGTTGATGTCCCTTGCTCAACAGGTAAGTGTGTATGTGTTTGTGTGTGCGTGCCTTTTTCATTCTCCAAAAGTATAGAGTAACACTGAATACAATAATATTTTCATTTGCATGCTTATGAGTAATTATGCGCTTACTTTTTGTTTACTGAAGTTTTTGTTTTTCACAATATATCCTCTCCATACCTCAATATGACTGTTATTTCTCTTGTAAGGACGCAATATGGTCTGACTACCTAATCTACATCTCCCCTTCCAACAATCAGTTTCAGGGTCACCAGATAAATAGGAGACAGTGCGTCGTCAGTGGTTCAGTGGTAGAACACTTACTCGCCAACCAAGCAAGTGGTTCTGGGGTTGGATCCTCGGCCCACGCACTCCTAAACTTCTCTAGGCTGGTAATAAGGCAGGTGAAGAGGAGGAGGGTTGAGAATGTGAGGCTAGAGCAACCCTGTGCCGTAAAAGTAAAACCACTGCTATAGAAATTTTTATTGTTCTAGTTGAAGCTCTTTGTTCCACTGGGAATACAATGGAATCAAATTATATGAATTATTATAATGGGAATATTTAAATTGGTTTTAAACAATACTTTCTAATGAGTGTGTATTATTAGCATTCATCATGCGTTAACCGAGAGGTAATTTGGAAACTACTTCAACAGTATGACGTTCATTGCCCAAGTCTTTATCAGCATCATCCAACAATGCCGCATGTCAGGTGATCCACAATGGGAAGCTCAGCGAGGCGTTCGAAGTACATACAAGAGTAACACAAGGCTTCCTATTATCACCGATGATATTCTTAATTGTTGTGGACTGGATTATGCGTCAGACTGTGCGTTGGGAATGAGAAATCAGGAATACGCCGGACCACTGATAAGAAGACTGTAGAAGATCTGGATTTCGCTGATGACATATGTCTAATGTCAAACTGGCTGGAAAAACAGCGAAGACTGGACTCCAAGTGAACATACAGATGACGGAGGTGATGTTTATTATTATTTATTTATTTAAACACAGAACAAACTTGGTACAATATGGCACCAAGAAAGATGTACCACACAATAATTATAAAACAACACAGATCAAAAGTAAAAAAATATAAGTAGAGAACGGATAAAGAACTTCATCTGGAAGGAAAACAGTTATGCTTAACAAGTTCAAACAGCATTCGTTAACTATCATCGGAAGGGAAGAAAGAAGGAAATTGCAACACGTTCGCCATTGATTACGATTCTCGGTCATATCCGATAACGGTTCGAGTTATCTCTCGGGCCCCAACCAGAGAGTCGTGACGCACCAACCGATGCTAATCTAGCACAAACATCCTTCATCCACGACGCCACGTCACTGAATGACCACCCCTCTGCCTTTTCCATCCCTTCCCAGGGTTAGCGAACAGAGACCTGTACGGAAGCCTCTGGGATGATATTGGCAGCACATGTCTAAACCACTGAAGCTGGTGTTTCCAGATGACGACACTCAATGAATGGTGATCTCCACTGTGTTCAAACACACGCCGCCGAACCTCAGAATTACTCACGCGATGATACCATCGAACGCAAGCAGTCCTGCGGAGACAGCGACGATCGACACGCAGAGTCGCCGCACATCCTCAGCTCGAGAGGCCAGGTTTCACAGGCGTAGAGCGAGACAGCTCGCGCCGAAGCACTGTATACCCGAGCGATAAGTTTTACTGATACTTTGGTGCTTCATTTCATTTATTGTGTGAGGGCTGAGATACAGCCGTCATGAAAAGCATTTCCAACAGCCTACTGCAGACTTTTGTCAACAGGTGTCTCCTTTGCTGGCTGGCAACAACCAACTAAGAGCCGATCGTTCAATAAATATGCAGGAGAAAATGGAGATGGGATCAGGCATATGTTGAGGCGATTGTCGAACGACATCGCGCTCCATGTCATCCCTCGAGCGAATCCGAATGGGAAGCAACGAGTGGGTTGTCAGTACGATGGTGACAGGAGGAGATCGAGCGAGTTAGTCTGTCTGTCTGTTTTCGACATAGAACTTTGCACATATGTGCGGAAGTTCAAGTCGCCACACTCCCTGCATGTAGCACACAAGCAAGAGAAGAAAGTAGAAGAAATGCATAACAGAGAGAGACAGTAAGCAAAGGTATGAGACAAAGGAAGAGTAATAACGAAAAACAACATGGTTTCATTGGAAATCATAAGTCACAGAGAGTGGATGCATCTGCGCCATTGAGAACGATTTTGAGCCATATCACCAATAGTTTCCAGCCTTCATTGGTTTTTACCGTCCCGAGGACCCCAACCAGTCAGGAAGTCTACATCTTCCTACGTGGCTTAGACTAACTGTTGTGGATTTCATTGACTAGTGCCATGTTTTGGTTTGACCGCCGCTAGCTCTTTTCCAGCCTGACCCTATATCCGCTAACATTGCCCGTTGTCGAGGAAGGCGATGACTTGGCATTCGTAACACATGTCCTAACCATCTCAGTCGATGTAATTTCACAGCTTCGTCGATTGATTTCCCCTCCTTACGTAGAACTCGACGCCTAACCTCAATATTGCTCACCCTATTACACTACCACTTCACACGGGAAATAGAGCTCAGGCACCTATGATCAAAGACAGCTAGTCTTTTCATGTCTTCCACTCTCAGTGGCCAGGTTTCACAGCCATAAAGGAGGACGGAGCGGACTGATGAGCAGTACACCCGCCCTTTGGTCGATAGTCGAACATCTCGTCTACGCCAGAGTCGGCGTAAACTGGCAAATGCGAAACGAGCCCCCTGTATTCGTGCTGAGATTTCGTCAGAGATCAACCCGTTGGCGTGGCTGATGGTACTTCCCAAATAAGTGAAGCGGTCAACGTGCTCTACCACTTCACTTCCTATTTCTAAACTAGGAGTCGGTGTAGTCCAGTCCTGTAACATCATCTTGCATTTGGCGGAAGCGAATCGCATGCCAAACATTCGTAGATTGCAGCTCAAGGTGTTTAGAAGACTCTGCATTTTGTCAGCACCCTCGCCTAGAAGGACTATATCGTCTGCATATTCTAAGTCAACGAGATTATTCCCTGGTAGCAAGTCAATCCCTGAGTCGCTGAAGTCACTTAGGGTTAAGTCCATTAGTACATCTATGATGAAGTTGAATAGAAAAGGGGATAATGGGCATCCTTGACGGACACCACTGGTCGTCACCAGTTCAGATGACAGCTCGCCGTAAGCCCTCACCTGGCTGTATGAGTACGAGTAGAGTGCCTTAATCAGTGCAATATATTTTCTTGGAATTCCCTTTACAGCCAAGCATCTCCAGAGAACTTCCCGATCGACAGAGTCGAATGCTGCCTTTAGGTCAAGAAATATAATGACTGTTGGACGCCGGTAGGAATGCCTATGTTCTAGAATCTGTCGGAGGGTGAAGATATGATCAATACACCCTCTTCCTGGTCTAAAGCCTGCCTGGCTCTCTCGTGTTTGTGCTTCCCGAGCACCACTCAGTCTACGCATGATTATTGAGCCTAAGACTTTAGATACTATATTAGTCAAGCTAATCCCTCTGTGATTATCACAGGAAGACTTGTCTCCCTTCTTGTATATGGGGATAATCAGTGACTTACACCAACCCGATGGGACTTCTTCTGATTCCCAGACGCTGCCTAGTACCTCAGTTAATCCGGACAGTAAGCTGTCTCCACCGTACTTAAATACCTCTGGAGTCATTCCATCAGGTCCCGCTGCTTTGCCTAGTTTCAGATTGGTGACAGCTTTAGTAACCTCAGTTAGTGACGGAGGACCTGTGTCTATATCCCATTCAGGGAGGTGTTGGATGCTCGGAAGGTTGAGCGTGGCTGTGGGCCAATTAAACTGCTCCTCATAATGCTCTTTCCAACGATCCAGTCGTCTATCCTGGGAGCTAATTATAGTGCCATTTTTTTCCGAGATTGTTTCACTAATGATTTGTCTTCTCCCACCCGTTTCCCTGATGAGTCTAAAGAGTTGCCTGGTGTTGCCTATCCTCGAAGCTTTCTCCATCTCTTTGGCTTTTGTCGCCCACCACTGTTCACGGTCCTTGCGGAGACTTTTCGTAAGTTTCCTCTTGTGCAGCTTTCGCTCCTCATTGAATTCGGAGCTCGCCGGAATAAGTCTTCTAGCATCTATCAGTTCGGATGAGGCGGTGGAGATCCAGTGGTTTTTACTCACCTTTGGGTTTACCTTATTCACAGCTTTTACAGCTGTATCTATGGCTGCCTGGATATTTTTCCAAGCTTCTTCAGGGTGAGCACAGCTGTCGAACACAGATATGTGTTTAGCTAGTTCTTCCTCAAATACGGATTTAGTTTCCTGATCGAGCTGGGGACGTGATGGTTTTACCGCCAGCTGTTTCCTACGTCCGTTCAGTCGTAAGCACACCCGAGCGCGGACCAGTGCATGGTCGGTATCTACACACGTGTTCCAGAAGGAGCGACAATCTCCTACCGACCCACGCCAACGATAGCTTATTGCTATGTGGTCTATTTGTGTCCAGCGTTGGTTTGATGAAGGGGGTCTCCAAGTCAAACAGTGTCTCTCCTTGTGTTTGAAGTTAGTGCTTACAAGAAACAAATGATTATCAGAGCAGAACTGTAGGAGACGGTCACCGTTGTCGGTTCGCTGGCACGGAACTCCATAGGTGCCACCGACATCCTTCTCAGATTGACACAATTTCCCTACTTGAGCGTTAAAGTCACCAGCTAGAACGACTATGTCTGAGCGTTTAGCCTTTCGCACCAAACTAGACAGCTTTTGGTAGAACTCATCCTTCGTTTCATCTGAACTGCAGTCAGTGGGGGCGTAGGCGGAGATTACGAAAAGGCATCGGCGAGTAGTGCAGTCCTTCCTCCTTTTTACTGATCCGTTCAGACGGACAGCACACATTCGGCTATCTACCGGGATCCAGTCAAGCAATGTCTTTTCTGCCCTAGTACTCAAAGCTATCCCTACGCCAGCTAATCCTCGTGAACTAGCTGTGGCATCTCCTGACACCCTCAAGGTGAATTTTGCAGATTCAACCTGTTGGCCAGGTGGGGTTAGGTGAATAACCACACTTGGGTCTTGTATGCGTGTTTCTGAAACACAGCATACATCAATGGCTCGTGATGCCAGGGTCTTGGCTAGTGATGCTTGTTGTCCTATTTGGCAAAGTGTCCTAACATTAAGAGCTCCTATATGAAATTGGTGGCGCGGCTTTAAGAGGCTGTCGGTGGTGGTTTTTTGGCTTCCATCGTTTTTAGTGGACGCAGAGTGGAGAGGAAGTGGAGAGCTATCAAGTCGAGGAGTTGCATCAGTGGAAGGAAGGCAAGATGATAGAGATGAAGATGAAGACAAAGATGAGTGAGTAATAGAGAGGTTTCGTGTGCATTTCGGATTGTGAGGGCGATTGTTACTTCCCGGCTGCCCACACCGTGGAAGTTGGTTGCGTGACCGCAGAGCCCAGGGGACAACTGCTTGAGGCCGGTCACACGCGGCCTGTTTTTGTTTGTTCTTTTTGTTTGGTGTGTCTCAGTAGCATACTTATCACTCCTGCCCTGTGACACGGCAGCAGGAAGCGCGGTCGTTGTTAATCCGGGCCACGGCCGATCCGGCATGAAATTTTGTGATTTTGTATTGATCATGATGTTGGATTGGGTAGCTGCTTTTTGTTTAACCGCTATCCAAACAACCTGCCTGGCATGGTAGAACCTCAAGAGACATAAGTCTCAGCCAGTATAGCTTGATTAGATCATTGCGGTGTTCAAGCGCGACCACCACGTCAAGGTAGCAGCTTTCGGTCGGGGCGAGTTGGAGGACGAGTTGGGATATATTATGGTCTATTGTGGACCCAGGTGAAGTGAACAGCACTAAATCCAACAAAATGGAGATGTGTTGTTAAAGCCCTTTGTTCCACTTGGAAACGAAGGCAATGGTAATATAATAATTCATGCCTCTATTATTGCTATTATTAATATTCTTGTCGTTGTTATTTTGTTTCCTTCATTGAAAAAAAATAGGATGAATTATGTTGTACTGCACAGGTGCTGTTAAGAATTTTAATCCATGGTGGGCATCAATTACTTTTCACGCAAAATGATTTAACGGAGGATTCTAGAGGTAAGTAAGCGTTGTATAATGCAGAGTGGTGATAGAATTTGGCTTTACTCTACCTCCACCTCCCACATACACCGACACTGGTTTTTTAATGTAATGTCCTCAAATATGAAACTTTTAAAGCAAAATGATGTTAGCTTGTTCAGTTCACTGTTATTTCGAGGCTTCAGTTTCAATTCTTCACGCTAAAGGATATCTTACTATATGTACTGCTGACCAGGGTAACTTGAATTTAGTTGATGTCTTGCAATATGAGTGTGCAACAATCATTCACCACTGTTCTATAGTTCATTCTCTCCCTCCCTCCCTCTCTCTTACAATGTGCCTCTTGTATTAGTTATGTATATTAGTAATCAATTGAAATTTTGTATTTTTACCATATTATTGTTGTTCAATGGTTGGAGGCAATCGGCAGGAAGCCTTGGATCTAGGTTTTGTACTAGTTATTTTTATTCCCTTGCACTCTCAGTGAAACACTAGGCTTCACTCAGTTTTCTGAATATTTTGTCTTTATCTGACTGGCTCCACGATTACCATTCATAAGCTTTTATTCCCTCCTCACACACAATTGCCTGTGTTTCACCTTCAGATGACGAAATCGTTCGTTTCTCCTACTGGTTCCACTTGACTTACTGGCGTGTAATGTCCTTCATCGATGGTGGTCTTCCAGCATGTGTCCAATCCATCTTCATTTCCTCCTACATACTTGTTAGGTGATAGATTCTTGATTGGTTAGTTGTCTGTCACAGGTGGTCATTGTTGCTTATCCTTTCCAAACCGGTCGTCTAATCTTCAATATGGAAGGAAAGCATATTCTGTCTGTCTGTTTTCGACATAAAACTTTGCACCGATGTGCAGCAGTTCAAGTCGCCACACTCCGTGTAGCACGCGAAGCAAGAGAAGGAAAGTACAAGAAAAGCATGATAGAGACAGTGAGCAGAGCTACACTGGCTGGAACCAATGTTCCTGCAGGTCCTACCATGCCAGGCAGATTGTTAGAGTAGTGATTAGACTGAAAGCAATTACCGGCTTAGTGTAAGAATTTTTCTTATAGAGGTGTAACAGCAGTGAGGTGTTTCCCTCAGATGACCAGCATGCCAGCTATTCTGTCTCTCCACTCTGGAGAGAGGGGGTTAAATTTGGTCGACCCCAACAATTGTACATCCCGACTCACCCTACGGTGGTCCGTAGAAATCAGTTCATACATGCCGTGTGTTACCGGCCTTAAGCAGTCGTCCCCTGGGCTCTGCGGTCACGCAACACTAACCCTCTGTCTGTTGTAGGTACCCGAAGAATCAAGGAAAGCATATTAGTAAATTGCATATCAAAATATTCTAGATTACTAGCAGAAAACTGCTGTGTGTGTGAACGATGTGCTCTATTCAAGTGTACAAGCAAAGATTGTACTTTGGTTCAAGACATCATATTATAAGATTAGTCACTGGAAGAGGAAGAGTAACCAATCTCCCGTGTATTTAGTCCTTAGTGGTAGCACTAACTGAGTGCAAGACAAGTTTGCGTACAATGTGATTATCAAGCCACATACTTTGAATTGATGTTAGATATTTTAAAGTAATCGATAAGAAGTTACGGAGCTTGTTTTCCTTTTTATTGAGTATGACTAGTATGACGTATCTACAATCTCTAGTGAGGCTGATATCACCTCTCTCCCTTTCTCTTTAGTAGATTTGAACCCAGTGTTCTAATCAGAGATTATTACCTTTTGTTACACCCTGTTGACAATTGTTCACTGTATCCACTGGGGTTCTATAGAAAGACACTCACTTGGACAGGTGAAAATAACTGGTCCTTTAGTGGAGAAAACAAGTTGTCCAAAAGTTGAAGTTGTAGTTACGGTGGGTTGATGGGTGTGAGGTGATATGCCTGAGGAGGGCGAATCAATCAACGACGTTGTGAAGTTACACGATTGAGATGGTTAGGACATATGCTATGCATAACTAGCCATCGCCTTTCTCGACAACAGGCAATGTTAGCTGACTGACATGGGATGGATCAGGTTGGAAAACAGCTAGTGGTGGTGGTCAGACGAAAACCTGGTTTCATCAGTCAATGAAATCATAACACTTAGTTTAAGCCAGCCACATAGGAAGGTGTAGACTTTCTCGTTCGGATCCTTGGGATGGTAAGAACCAATGATGACTGGAGATAATTGGTGGGAGATATGGCTCTAAATCATCGATGTCAATGGCACAGATGCATTCACTTTTTATCATTTGCAATAACCAACAAAATTTTATTGTTATTCTTTTTGCCTGACATTTTTGTCTAATACCTGTCTCTTTCTCTCTCTTAAATGTCTCTTCACTTTCTTCTCTTGCTTTGTTCGCTACATGGAGGGAGTGGGGCCAGTGAAAATACTGCACATCTGTGAAAAGTTTTATGTTGAAAGTGGTCAGTCAGATATGCCTGTACAAATGAAGATAAATTCATGAATTAGGCCAACAAGCCAGGGTGTAATATAAGCTTACTACGTTTGAAGTCATTTGAGATTATTTCCAGTCTGAATAATATTTACACCTTGAAGATAATGAAGCATAATATACAATAGTGATGAAAATAAATGAATGCCTAGCTGTATTCACTGGAAATAATCGATACTATGGTACATACATATCAGCAAAATTGGAAATAGTCGAACCCATCAGATTATCTGTATGTCTGTGTAGCCGGTTTCGAAGACTGATGACATTTTTTAGTGTGGGGCACACTGTTGTGAATGTGAATGTGTTTGCATTGTCGTGAAAACCCTCAAATTAGGTTATATCAGAATTCAGTGTCCTTTTGATTGATTTCTATCTTGAAAAGAAGGGGAATGTTGCCAGTCGACTAGAAAAATTTATTCTGGGTATTGTTTTCTATCTCCAAGCTAGCGATTTATGCGACAGCTGGGTTATTACCTGGGCGCCTAGATCAAAACAAGTAGTTGTCGTTTAAGGGGCAACACTCACCGAGGCATTGATTTGATATGTGATCTTCAAGACAGTAGGATAGCAGCATCAGAAACCGCGTGTGCTATAGGCGACGCTCGATCTGTCCAGATTCTGGTGCCCATGTGCACCATAGTCCCGCAAATCCTGGTTTTTCGGCTATCCTCGATAGACCAGTCCCCGGTTGTAAGCGCCAGATGTTTGTATTCACCCATTCACTTTAACAAGGAACACCTCACCATTGGTGTGGTAAGCATAACGCTTAATTAATTTCACAAGATTGGCTAGTGAACAAAGGATATGACTTTTCGACAATTTCCTTTTCATCAAGTTCTGCAATCTTATGTTTAGACCTGGCCTAAATAAACAGTCTATGAAGCTAGATATTGACGAGTCTTTTTCTACCATATATTGTGTATCAAGCAAAGTGCCTAAATTTTCAGACAGTAGAGATCATTGCAATCCGCCTAAAACTCATGGAACTTCATCTGTGCAAAAGAAACACGTCCAATCAGTCACTACTGCTATCCTGGTCTGATGTGGAGCCAATAAATCCATAAATTATGTAGTATTTCCGTTTAGTGATGTATTCATGCATATAATCAGTTAAAGATACTTTTGAACTGTAATTTATTGATTTTATTAATTCAGTATTGTTTAAATGAATCACCAATTTTGTTAGTAACTATAATCCTGTAATTATGTAACGACAGAAGACAAGAGCCAGGAAACTGATCGTTTATTGAGAAAATTAACAGATGTTTATAGATTTTTATGTACATTATTGTTCGTTATTATTAGCACAGAAACAGTATCTTCTGATTGGTTGTTTCCTCGCCGAAAGTTAACCTGTTATTTGTTTGTGGCCATTTCTTTGAAGGTCATGCCATATATCTGTTAATCGTATCCGCCCACGCAAAGTCTGCTGTGATTGATTGTTCAGCTAGTCTTTGTTTTTTTCTCATGACCCCGATTGGGGACGCAAACATTGACGTCAATTACTGTCTAGAAATTTTGGTTAGCAGACAGCTCTTACCACAATTACAGTGGATGTATTTAAATGTAGAACTTGTTGAAGAAGAGGTCATCGAAAAGCCATATTCTTTGTTCATTATTCTTCACAGGCTTATGAAATCAATTAGGCATTATGCTTATCACATCACTAGTAAGATGTTCCTCGTAAGAGTGAATGGGTGAATACAAACATATGGCGCTTACAACCGGGGACTGGTCTATCTAAGACAGGCGAAAAACTCTGATTTGTCAGCCTGTGATGTACATGGGTTCTAGAACCTGAGCAGATCGAGCATCATACGATGAACCTGTTCTGCTGATCACCTGTAGCACACGCAGTTTGTGATGCTGCTATCTTACTGTCTTGTAGATCACACTTCAAATCAGTACCTCGGTGAGTGTTGGCCTTTTATACGACAACCACCCGCTTTTAATTTAGGCATCCGGGTGATATTCCAGCGGTTAAATAGAAGTTGTATTTTGAATTAAATTTGTAATCTATATGTCATTATACATTCCTCTTTTTGTTAATATAGAGAAATTATTGAAAGCAGCGTCAAAGTTAGTTGATTCCGGTAATTTTGAATGGCCGGAACCAGTTATTGAGTCGTGATCGCTAACTAATGATAATGTAAAAGTGGCAGTGGAATGATGCATTTATTTTGATGCAGTTAGTACACAACCAGTTTTCCCGTGTTACTTCAATATTATCATCAAATAGGAAAAAAAGCTTGAAAATCTACTGAAGTTCTCCTGTTTTTATAAACTCCATTTTCCGTTCTGCATTTTTCTCAGCTCTGTTTTTAAAATACAATTTTAAAAGAGGATGAGATTTTTGATGAATTTTTGTTTTAAAACGATCAAGTTGTCAGTCGGATGTGATTCTTTGAATTTGTTATGACGGGAACTACGTCCCAGTAGAATATGAGCGAATACTTAACTTATTGCTGCTGGTGACTAATCTGTCCCAATTGCACGTCAGCAACAACAATAACACCACAGGCACGCAGAGACAAAGAAAAAGGCTGGATGTCGATTAAAGGGCATTGGTACTGTCTCAAACAACAGACGAAATGCTAGACAGAAACTCTGTATAAATATACCTTTAGGACAACCTTGAAAATGCACTAATTCAGTGATGCATTAAAGGTATTAACTGTCATTAGGAATCCAAACAGAGGGTTCACTACAGTGCGCGATAACTCCTTAAAGTAGCTGTTTTAAAAGTGTTAGGCAAAACTAGTTTTATATAACAGAGTTCGAGGTTATTCTTTTCTTTGATTGGATACTAACTAGTGTCATGCACATCTAGTCCTTTGTTTGCAGCAGAGTGAATTCTGTGGGTCATACTTGCAATGTGGTCACCAGGCTAGGTGGCTCAGCATCACCGTGCACTGAAGTTTGATTACTGATTGACATCAGTTAGACAACCATTGAAAACCAGCAGGGAGTATTAGACAACTGCTTCGTCTTAAACTGTGACTTATTAGCAGTACGCACCTACCATCAGGGTTGGGATCCAGGACATTCCAGTTACAAGGTAAGCCACTGGGACCCGACTTAATAACCAGCCCATAAATTCCAAATTCTGCTCATGTCAGTAAATAATTCGTAGTCAGACTATAAACATAAACTAAATGTCATTTCGCATCTACAAAACAGTCCACATCAGGGAAGTGAATAGAAATGGGGGAAATACTAACGTTAAGATAGACAAAGACATGGCTATAAAGGGAGAGTGGGATTTGTTAGACGAGGGTTAATAAAAAGACATCGAATTTCGAAGCTGTTAGTTGAGAAGGATATCTTTACTAGTAAATCGTTTAGGCTAAGCTATCAACGATTTTTGACTGCCAGTTCTTAACATCTGAAGGTGCCCAGATAACCAAAGTAACTCAATGAATAGTAGAGCATTTCATGAGTTGGCTTTATGCTCCAGAATTTAATTTAATCGGTTACCATCCCGCATCTGTAGTCCCAACGTTCTAGAAACAGAATTAGATATTCTGAGAGAAATCTTCATCCAAAATGGATACCTAATAATATTCATTGACAAAAATATCAAACCAAGAATTTGGAGAAACGAAACTTCACTTGCGCCTAAAAGGAAACTCTACATGGACTTGGATTTCAGAGGAGATTTAACAAGCGATGATCTCAAGAGAAGGATCACATCATATCGGAGAGGAACATTATTTGCTGCAACGCTAAGAATAATGTTCTCCAGTCTCCCACTGATCTGCAGAAGCCTCATGGACAAGATCCCGCATCTGGCCACTTCTATGTGCATATATATCAGTTCACCTACTGCTGTGGAGCCAGGTACATCGGTCATTCGACGCGCACCCTGTCGGAGAGGATTCAAGAACACTATCCAGCATGGTTGCAAAAAGGTAATAGTGGTGCAATAGAGAGTGCGATAATTGGACACCTGGTTAACACTGATCATTCCATCTCAACAAACGCCTCCTCCTTCAAAGTAATCTACAGAGTCAAGAATAACCTACCAAAGGCAATACGGTTTCGTCTTCTTTGTATCACTGTAGCTCTGGCCATTCACGCTGGAGAACCGGAGCTGTGCATACAAACGAGTATTACTCAACGACTTCTACTGTCATGGTAGCAACTTTGTTGATTTTGATAACTTAATTTTGTTTGTTTGCCTGTTCTTTAACTGCTTATAATTCTTGTGTTCATTTTGAACTCTTACGCAATTTCGTATTCTCTACTTTGTTCCTATGTGTATCCTGAGTAAAACTCAATCATCAAACTATTCATACTATTGCATAACTTCTGTTTTTAACAACTGTTTTTGACAACTCGTGACCTTTGTTACTACCCTAATATCATTAACACCTAGTAGTTTTCTTGACTGATTGTGTATTACGTAACTCCAGTAACCAATCTTCACCTGCTTAGTTAAAATAACCATAACAAATTGTAATTTTGTTTGACAAACTTAATGTACACATACATACAAAATAACATATATATATATATATATATATATTTGCGGTTGTACAGCTAAGAAAATGAATTCGCCGCCGAAAAGAGACTCTTCGCTAAACTACGTGTTTTATTTCCACTATCTTTAAGTCTCTGAGGGGAGAAGACAAGCGACTTGCAATTTGATGTACACATAGGGAAACTGTTTATACCTAATATATAAATCGTCATTTGCACAAATCTTCCGCGTTGTACTACTTCTACCCTTCGTATTGTTTTTTGGTCTTCTTTTTGTGTCTCCCGTGTTTTGCTGCAACATTGGTTCATTTACTCTGTTTGACATCAAATGTTTGGTATTTATGTGCCGATGAAGGTCTGTTTATATACTACTGATAAATCTTGTCAGTAGCACAGGCCACATGTCTACTTCATATGGTCCTATTTGAGCTAATATTGGTCCTGTAGAAAGACAATCCGTATTTGTCGGTTTAGATGTCCTATCCTGCTAATTAATTCACTTTATCTAACTGTGTATACGTCATCAGAGGATGACTTACTGTGTTTAATCTTACCCCAGTTGAACAATGAAACAGACTCCCCACACATACGTACACTTATCGTCAAAAACCTCCATTTTCCCACATCTTTCCTGTTATTGTAAAATAAGCCTATTCTGTAATACGCACGCTTATTAGTAGTAGTTAGTACTGAAAAAACATAATCTAGTTCTTTGTATTCGCAGTATGATGTTGCTTCACAAATTCACCAGGTTTGCAAGGGAAAATAACAAACCAGTAACTTGAAAATCATGACCTATTGAATCTGAGTTTAAATAGTTGTTGCCCCAATATGTAATGGTGCTAAATTCGATTCCGGATTTGGTTGTCGTCGTACAGAGCTCCGAAGTATAGAACCAAATTATTATGAACTCGTCGCTAATATGTTATGATGTCGTTGCCAATATTATGGTGGGACCGAGTGGAATTATGTGCTAATGAGATATAACGGACGACAACGTACATACTGGGATTGCTGAATACTTAATTTGTCTTGACGCGAAGGCGCAAATCAGAAGACCACCACGTTCACGATGATATACGTGTATTTTCCAACAAGGAAAATTAACTGTCACACAAGAGTGTGTGAATGGAAAAGTACTAAAGAGTACGAGAGGTGTGAAAGAGAGTGTATTAACTAACTGTACAATACAAGAGTATATATGAAAATGACTAACAACAGGTATGAACCAATAAGATAGGCAGTAGGTTTTCTTACCATCATTGGATTCTGATTGGTTGTAATGTCGTGTGACAAAGGTCATACGTTGTTTATTTAGTTAATGGACGAACAAAACATATTGTGGATTATAATGAAATAACGATCAATTTACATGTAGCAAGAAATATCAGACTGTCAAAACAAAGCAGACAACATGTGACTGCATATCAGAAATACTTGTGGCTTTATTTATTTTTAAATGGTTGCGTCAGTAGATGTCGATGCATCATGAAAACCTTTTTTATGGTTAGGGGGGGGGGCACTTAGCGTTTCCCTGAGAACTAACTGACTGTATTTCAACATAGAACCATGGCACAAAAGTGCAGCAGTAAAAGCTGCTACACCTCAGACAGCACACGGAGGTAGAAAAAAAGAATAGAAGCACAATGAGCAGAAATGTGTTGAAGAGGGTGTCGGTGGCACAGTGGTTAGGACTCTCGCCGACCATGCACATGGTCCGAGGTTCGAGCCCTCGTTGACGCACAACTGATATCTATGGTCGGCCTGCAAACTTTGGGCTACCGATATCCATGCTGAAAATTCCATACCTGTACCAAAAATACGGTGTGGAATCAAGCTGTAATCAAAAATAAAAAAAAATAAATAATAACATGAAGGGTGAATACATCTGTGCCATTGAGAGTAATTTCAAACTACTCTTACCGAGAGTCTCGAACTGTTGGTTCTTAGCATGTTGAGGGCCCTATCGAGGTAGTCTGCATCTCTACGTGGCTCAAATCAACAGTCAGACACTTCATGGACTGTTACCATGTTTTGGTTTTTTCATCCTTAACTTTTTTCCAAATAAATCTGATGCCAGCTGACATTGATATAAGATAGGATTCTCAATAAAGCAGGAATTAGAGTGGCATTCAAACGTACAAACTCAGAGACAAGCTCTGTAGGTTAGAGGACCCTGTGGTCTGGTTGACCCAATTAAACAAAATAATATAATTTACAAAATACCTTGCAATGACTGTGAGTCAAGTCAACTACATAGGTCAGATTAGTAGATCAGAAGTAGTGAGATTATCAGAACGGTAGGATTTAGTTGAGGTTAGAATGATTGATCCCGCGAAGATAAGTAATTTAGAAAACAACTCAGCAGTTGCACCGCATGCATTAACAAACAACCACACACTAGGGTGCGAGAGGGTCAAAATTCTAAGAAGTAATTGTTGTAATATTTTGTATTCGTAGTATTATTTTTTCGAGATGACCGAATTACAAGAATCCAACCAAAACACAGAGAGGGCGGAATTCAGGAATTTGTATTTAGCGGAATTCTTATTCAGTTCATATAAGAAATATATTTACAATCAACAGTGAGTATTTAAACAATTCAGGGATAGAAATTGTCAATCACCACATCCGCCACATGTGGAATATCTCCTTGCATATTTATAAGATTGTCTTGGTTTGCTTGTAAGTAGCTGTGACCTTCTAACTGATTCTGTGTTATTATTTTCATCAGTATTATCTGGACTTATTTCTGAATTATCCACAAAATCAGGATTAGTAGCGGAATCATTAAAATTGTAATTGGAACGACCTACTTCATTTATTGTCACTTTGTCCAGGTGTCTGTTATGAATTGAGTGATCTTTGATGTCTAATATCTTCACCATTCGATTTCCCATTTTTTGTAGTATGATTCCAACAGAAGGTCTATAGTCATTCCCTCTGTAATAATGTACATTAGAAGTCGTGGACATCAGATGCTTTCTGAGAATTCGGGATTTGAATAGTTTTGCAGGACTTTCATGGGTACTTGTATGTTCTGCATTCAACAGACGCAGTCTATGCATATGCAGCAATTCCTCCATTTTAATCAGTTACTCTCTCATCTCATTCAGGTCTTTTCGTGTTTTCGACAGTTCACGTTGTAACTCAGCTACCTCATTTTTGAAAACAGTTGACACTTGAGTTGCCGAACTTAGTGGAGGTTTTCATTGGATGAGATGAGTATTTTGAAAAGTTGAAAGACACATTGACTCATTTTACTAGACAGATTGGGAGAATTATAAGAATGTTGAGTAACATAAGTATTCGAACTTCTGCAAACAGTCT